TTAAAACCATAAGTATCCATGTAAAGTGGGATGAATATGAAGGAATATCAGAGTACTACAATTCCCCAAAATTATGTATTAAACATTAAAAATGTATTAGAGAATAACCTTGGTAATGCCACATTATCTATTAAACAACAGGCAGAGAGACAGGAGGTATCCACACAAACAAACCTTTACTGAGATCAAATCTGACCGTGGTGTTTGTAGTTTTATTACAACATGCTAATATCTGTATCACTGAGAAAGAACTACAACACATTGAGACATTAGAAACTGTGCAAGCAACCAAAACATTTCTTTTAAAAAAACAAACAGAAGTAGTGTTCATGGAATGTTATCATAGGAAGATTAAACATATTTAAGACCTATAGAACATTTCTATGTATTTCAATGTGATTTTAAGACCTTAAATTCTAATATTTAATGTTTAGACTTTTTAAGAGCTATAATTTTGCCATTTTTATTGTTTACTCACACTACAATGTGTGGTCTTTAACATCAAATGAACTCCTTTTATTTTGGCATTACAGCAAAGTTGAGCATGGTATTTAGTTATTTATGAATCCCTGGTGCTTATTCTATTTGCCACCACTGCAGCACCTTGTATCCGATGAGAAAACTGTTCATCACAGAGCTCTGAATTCTTCCTCAATAGCGTTTACAGCACAGGACAAAATATTGTGTCCTCTCTTGCGACATCAAGTCATAAAATGTATCGACAACAGTCAAGGAAATTACTGCGAAAACATGCATCAGCATTTGATTAAGTCTCCAGTGATGTTGATGTAGTAGATGTGAGGGGGTGGGGGCTGTTGCTGACAGAGATGAGACTTTGCAATACCATGCAGACAGCGGACGATATGTAAATATAACAGCGCTTTGGACGGCGGAATAAATCTGACACATTGATTAAAATGTTGCAGCGAGAGCGACGCAGCGATGTCTGCGCCTCATATCTAATTAAAAGAGATCATTGTCTTCTGGCTACTCTCTGGCAGTTCAATTCACCTCGTTTTCACTCTGTTGATGCACTGAGAGAAGGCTGTGAATATTTAAGCCACTTGTATATTTAAATATCTCTGGCACGAACGTAATACCCCATTTGTCTTGGTACATCTGCAGCAATAAAATGATTAAATATGAAGCAGGTTTAGACTAAGATACTGGGTCTCGTCTTGTTGTTGTCTGAATCGATAAAGAGGGGGAGATCAGGAATACATAAAAACAGGAAAGAAATGTCATAAGAATGAAATGGATAGAAGCAATGTGTTATAATATATGACCAAAGCTCAGGAAAATCACAGTATCAAATTGAGAACGCACTTGGGGCTTCAAAGTATATTCCAAAGCAGGGACATTGAGTATCTAACTCAACAAGATAAGTCTAGTTAAGGTTTGTTTTTAAAATTGGACTCATTATGTGGAGCCAACATCAAAACAGCTCAGCTCCTGTTACTCCCTTTAAATCTGTAGATACAGAGGAATGAGAACAAGTTTGATTTCTCTGGTCAAGCATCTGTGATCCGGGAATCAGTTCTTAAAGACAGCACAGAGACAGAAAACATCCGTCAATAATTTTTGAACGCAGCCTCAGAGTTCCTTGTCTGCAGAGAGGAAGCCACTCATTAAAAGTGCGATTTGTACTCCGGTCACACACACTCGCAGCAGACAACGGGCACGGCGAGCCAGTCACCCAGCCACGAATCCTCGCAGAATGAGCAAATGGCGAGCTAATTAATAAACTCACGTGCCTCAAACTGAACAGCCGACAAGGTCAAGAGGTGTTGGACGTCAGTAGCCAGAGACACTCGATGCCAGCATGACATAACACTCCCACTAGGTGGTCTTAATGAAGAATGCATGGGGAGGTTTGTGAACTGTGATCTTTGATGAACTATGTTACCCAATTACCTGAAGGCGTATTGTGATTTTTGTTGCTTTAATAATTCAAAGGCAACTTTGAATTATGAAGGATTTTCTCACTTGGCGCGTGATGTTGTTTAGACTTTATGTTGTAACTCAGATAACATCACATTAAAGTTGCCAGGCTGACAGGTCGTTTCAATTCTGTGATGGAATGATATCATATTTTCTGAATACAAACAAATTCCAGTCACTGGTTTCTCAGACAGAACAGATTGTTTTGAAGAACAGAAGAGTTTCTGATGGTGCAGAAATGCAGTCACAGGTAGTATTGAAGTAATGTGGTGCTGTGGGCACTTAGAAATGTAAATTCAATAATGGTGTGAATAATCAATACATATACACACACGCATTCTACAGAAAGCCGGTGGAAAAATTGTGAAGTGGCATTGAAACACTCCTTGCAGCATCAATACCACTGATTACCATCCAGTCTTTTAAGCTTCCAATCAATACTTCTTCACTGAAATAAACAATACTGAGGAGAAACTGCAGCATTTCTGAACTAGGATTAGAACCACTCCACATATGTGGAGTTTTAAAAGCTTGTTTTTCTTCAGCATTCTCAGCCTATTGGGCCTGAGCCACACATTGATGAACAGTGTTTCTCAGCCGAGGCCTGTAACCGGGTGGACCCCGTGTTTCTGTCAGCTCTCGCATCTGTCTGCTGGTCTGTCATGTGAAAAGGTCAACCTGGTATCTCCACCTCTCAAAGTGAGGAAATAAATAACACGTACCAAGAGGTTTCGGCACATGTCAAAGACGTTAAGTGCAATAACTAAAGCCTCTTTCATACAACCAGTTCAAGCGGGAATGTTGTGCCAGTATTCCACCTCACTGCTCTTTATAAGAGGAATGGAAAGGCATTGTTGTTCGGGAATTAAGCCGGCAGCAGAGGCAGTCATAGGGATGAATTGATATCCGCGGGCAGATGCCTTGGTACATGGAACACCAACAAGTGGCAACATTATGCGATCGTTGTTTGGTTCAGTGTAAACAACCGAAGTAGACGTAATAATAGGTCTTCTTAACATCTCAGATAACAAAACGTTAGACACGATTTAACAACTTACGACAAATTTGCAATCGCTACTTAAAAAACGACTTGCCTCGTTTTAAACTGAATCAACTTATGGTCGGCAATTATTTTAGCCTTCATACCAATTTGAGAAGTGTGACATTTACATCGTAAACGCAAGAAAGAAACAAGATGCAGGACTAACAAAGACCATAACCAAAGTCTAACCATTGCCAAGCATGTTACTGCCCCTCTGAGGGTATTTAAACGCGAGATAAGAACTGTTTCAGTATCCAGTAATATTTAACAGAGCCACTGTGGGAGCAGTAATTTCTCTCATTGCCGATATGTGACTCTCTGAGACAGAGTGGGCTAAACGAAGGGGGAAAAAGCGAGTGTGGGAGTTGTGAGAGAAAAAAATAAATAAGATAATGAGATCAAGAAGGAAATTACAAGGAGCAAGAGGAATATGCACAGAGTATTAGGAAAGTGAGGGAGTGTGATACAGAGGCAGCAGGAATGATGCAGAGGAAGGAAGAAAAGAAGGAGAAGAGGAAATGGAAGCAACAAGCAAGACATGAGAGAAATGGCAAAGGGGAGGGAGGTGTGGACGAGGGGGCCTTCATATTGATACAATCGGTCAGGAAATAATAACACCAGTGAGTGAATAAGAAAACCTCATTTCACGTAATGAGTATTCTAATCAAGAGATTACATTATCTCACATTGCGGGGACACGGGGGGGGTGGATTGAGTCCCTGGTAACTGGGTGCTGGCAACGGTCGCATGCTGGGGAATGGCTTCATGTAACTACACTGCTAGAACAGAGCTATCATAGCACATGCCTATGCACAGTCACAACCTTTGAAATACACACACCCATGCATTTAAACACACGCTGTATTTATGCAGTCAAGCCTGCCAGCTGATAAGTGAAGACGAGCCAGAAGGCGATAGCTTGAAGTAAACAGGCTTTCAATTTAACCGGGCAGCAATGCTCTGTCATTTTATTTATGTAAAAACATAAACATTAAATTGCTTATCTCGCTATTGATCACCATAGCAATGATGAGGTTAGCCTTCTTGAAAGCCGTGTTTCCGACTGTACTTTCCTGCACTAGAAAGTCGAGTTCCTCACTAGTATTTAAGTCGTATAGAAAAGCATAAAATTAAGGAAGAAGCTCAGCATCCTCTTTAAGAAAATCCAGCTCTCAGACAACTTAAAGTGTTGTTATACACGTGAGGCATGCTTCAGAAAAATGTCATAAATTTAAATTACACGCCTCGCAGTGAAGGAGCACCAGGGAGAGCGCAGTTTTCTTTTCGTTATCAACACACACACAGGGAGATAGACACGCCCAGCGATCGCTTTGACAGCAACGACTGCCACAGATTTTCCTTCGAGATTCGCCATAGGTCAGTCCAACAGCTGCTCAGCCCCTCAGCCAATCACACAGGAGCAGGGAGCAGGGAGCAGGAACCCAGCATAAATACACACCAATTAAAGAACCGAAAATTAATCTGAGCAATCAAGCCTCGCCTGTCTCCTTCCCTTGCTACTTCTCACTGACAGATTGAATGCCATCCATCACACCGCAGCCGGCTCCTCCACTGATTAATTTACTTTAAGAGAGGGTGAACTAAATCAATGTTTTAAGAAACCGGAGGAATCAAGGATGAGCAAATATCCATGGCGGGGAATGAAAAACAAATGCCTGAGGGTATGCCTGTTAGGGTGAGCAACACAAACAACCCAGAGTTCAACATGAAAGCAAACTTGTTACCGGTTTCAGTGCCACAATATGGCCCCATATTATTAGGAGCGATGGCAAACTGGGCACTAGAAGACAAACCCTGCATTGCACTATCCAATTACATTTGATTTCCATTTAATCTTTATGGTATTGATGTTTACAGCTTCATTTTTATTCTAATCCTTGACTAGTTTTTGCCTTTTGACCTTTTCATGAGCATACAGGTACCTGCTAAGCACGTATATGTACTGTATATCAATGGTCAGGGTATGTTTTTACTATCACTGTTGTTTAATACTGACCTGCAGCACCGTCTGGATCTTAGCAGAGACGTCTGCCTGCTCGTACAGCTTGATCCCCTCTTCGTGGGCTCTGCCCGGGCACTGCACCGCGATCTGCTGCAAGTGGGCCAGCACCACGCTGTGCGCCTGAGCCACTGCCTTGAACTTATCAAACAAGAGCTCCAGCAGCTCCAGCAGCAGCCTGCAGAGGGAGGCAGAGAGAGCAGAACGAGAGCAGGAGTGAGTGTGGGACAGACTCGGAGAAGAGAGGGGATGGAGAGAAGTTATGAGAAATGAGTCTTGGTAATATTTGAAAGAAATAAACGAAAATGTGAAAGTTTTTTCTACTTTTGTAACATAAAAGAATTCTGAAATGCAACATTTATTATATAAGCAATTTCACATGGTCTTTTCTTTCACTAAGCTCTGAGAAAACACAACCAGCAATGAATTCACTCAACACTTCATTAATAAGGAAAATAAACTGGCCTTGATTCTCCACAGAATTCTGCTTCCATTTGAATATTACAAGAAAGGGAAAATGAGTCTTAGAGCGAGGTGATATACTGCTGCTGCTAGCCAGCACACCAATTAACTTCTTTTTTTTTCATATCGCCAACAATGACAATAAAAGTCTACACAGTACTGCGACAGTTAATGGCCACCTTCTCCAGGTTTGCCTCACCTCCTCACTCATGGTATCCATTAAAGCAGCCGAGAAATACTGACGCCATTGATAATCTAACGAGAAATAATCATGGTGAGCAGTTGTATCAAACGTACAATGTGCTGCACTCAATATGTGAGGACATTATTGTGTATCTCAGCTCCTGCTTAGAATTCCCTTTACCTCTTCAATGCTACCAGATGAATGTTTAAATGCACTGAAGCAATCAATTATTCCTATTAAAATGTATTTAGATAAAACAAATCAAGCTAAATAAGGTGTAATTAAAAAGTCAAATTACGCATAAACTAGAGAAGACTGCAAAAGTACAGTAAAGCATATTTTTGTAATTATGCAACAAACATTTGGAAAAAGCTTCCAATGCAAATGAGAAATGTATCTGTTGACACATTTAAAAGATTCTTTGGTTTTGCTTTTAATCAATTTGACCATGTCTTTTTTTTCATCCTAATCTGAACACATTTTATATTGTTTTAACATCCTTTGTTGTTTCTGCTTTAACCATCTTTTTAATGTATAGCACCACAAGCTGCATTCCATGAAATGAGAAATGCAATATAAATGAAGTGTATTATTAAAAATCCAATAAACTGAGATAAAGCACAATAACAGAAAAAAATAGGAACAAGGGAATAGAGAAAATATTAATGGGAACTTTTCACAAATATTTCACCTGCAGTAATAAAACACATCACCTGGGCTGGCTAATGTAAAAGCAGTGCGGTGGACCAAACCTGGACTCGAACAGAAGGAGCAGCTATACTCTCATTAGCTCTAAATGGCTCTGGCTGAAGGAGAATGTGCAGCCGAAACCAAACTAACCTTCCACTTGATCTGAGTGCTACGCTGTGGATTGGAAACTCACAGTTGCCTCATCTGTGCTTATACTTTCATACAGACTCTGTCATAGCTGCTTTCCGCACAAGGACAAAGCTTTCAAAGTAAAGAGTGAACACAGGTTATATTAGCCGAGTCTGAATGAGAACCCAGTGCACCCATGCCAATGAGTGCCCACTTTATTTTAGTGGAGATATTAAGAGTTAATATAAATACAGTCACACTCTCCGACACTCTTTCAGTGCACTCGTCTGACATTTCATTCGGGTTCAAATTAATTGGCAGCAAGTGAAACCTCTTTTTTAATTTTATAGAGGACAAGAGATTAATAGTTCATGAAAATATTGGTTATTTGATAATGGACCCTGCTGGGGAACTGAACCTTCCCTTAAAAACATAAACTGTAATCTGTGCAAACCTTTTGATGTGATAATTCTTGTAAAAATGACAATGCAGAGACTGGATCAGAGCTCCTCATATTTCCCAGACAGATCTAACTGGATCATTCCTGCACCTTCGTAATCAGTTTTTCTGCTGATTTAATTAGAACTAGAAAGCATTCAGAAGAGCTCAAACCTCCACCATAGAGAAAGTGATAATAAATTCCTGGATCCGCCCCTTTGTCCTGATCCGTGCCATAATGTATTACCATACAGTGGCTATAAAAAGCCTATACCCCCAATGAAACACATTTAAATCCAATAAATCTTGTTTGCACCAAATTGCAAACACTCATAGATATCACTCCCCTAAATATGCCGTTTTTTTATTTATCTTTTTTAACAAGACTCATGCATTATTCAGTGAGAAATGGGTGAAAATGTAAAATTAAAAAAACACTTTATGTCACAATGTTATTAAAAGATATAGAAATCCTGGATCCCGCCCAAAATCGAATCGGTTCTTTCTTGGTCTATATCCAAGTTTTGTGGACATCAGTAGTTTTTTTGTAATCTTGCTGACAGACAAACAAAACGGAGAGGGGTGAAAACACAACCTCCTCAATGGATGTGAAAATCTGAGTTTGCTGCCTAATTATTACATGAATCAAAAAAGACCCAAGCAGAGAAGCTTTGACTGCCTAAAACAAAGCCTCTTTTATGTACACTCAAAAGCACCCGAGCCAAAACCTCATTAATGCCAAGTCAATACAAATTACCAGCAATTTGAATATTTCAAGAAAAGTAGACACGCTGAAAGTTTTGGGAAGCGGCCAAGGTTTCCCAGGGAAGGTATAAGGATAATGTGGAGGCGAGATGGATGGATGTTTCACTAGGGGGGCATTTTGGTTGGCTGTCTGTCACTACACCAGCAGCAGCAGCGAGTAAATGTTATTAATGGAGAGTAAAGCCGGCACAAATCACTATGAGTTATAACTCGGTGAATGGGAGATGTTCATGTGACGAAGAGAAGAGCTGTGAGCGGCGAAAGGAATCTTTCCCTCCTCCTACCTCATGTGTAAACATGGACTGACAAGAAAAAGGAAGCTTTCAGAAATGGACGAACAACATACGTTCCCCAACATGAAATTTACAGCTCTGACCTTGTCACCTCTTCTGTTGCTCAATCTCCAAATGCACCACATCTCCTACCACTCACACACTCATTGCACTCCCAGCAGAGGCCTTCCTAATCCATATTGTCTGTCCTTTAAGACCTCACTTCTCATTTCCCCTCAGGGTCGAATCAGACACGCGCACACGGCTGATGAAGAGTTGGGAGAAACAGCGGGGAGCAAACACATGGATGTACAGAGCAAACCCCTGAAAAACACCTGTGTGTTTCATTTTGGGAGGACGAGGATAGTGCCCCATTTTCATTAAGTCGGTCGTCAGTCACAGATAATTGAATTAGGGGTCTACAGAGTGTTTAAAGTACAGAGTTGAAGTATTAAATGTGCAAGGTCATCCTGCTGTTACACACAAACTGACGCAGAGTGGGAACACATTCACACAAATTTGCTCCTCAGACTTTTCCAGTGACTACTCGACTGAACAGGCAGAGAAAAACAGAACATAAGAGACAAGCAATCACTCTTCAGATCAATGAGGTTTTTCTCGTTTTTTTAAAATTGGATTTAAAACACATTCCCTTTTATTCTAATGTCCTGGTCATTCAGGCATTTCTCCACTTTTAAATCAGCTCTTTCTTTCTGTCTGAGAGATTTAAAATTTGATTCAAAAGCTCCTACATACATATATATATATATCTATATATATAAAAAAAGAACAGAGGAACAAGGATCTGTTTTTGAAATGCAAAAAAGGAAAAGGAATACGAGTTCAACAAGTCCAATTTGATGTAAATTAAAAGGAACTGCTCACAGATCAGTGGCGCATGCTAATAACTTTGCAGCGTGTAGTGGGAACCTGTGTGGAGTGTCTTTATGAAAGATCTAGTGAAAGGAGGTGGAAATGAAAAGGCACTTTCAATGTGGCTGATCACAAACGGGGTGAATGAGAACATAAAGCTCCAGGAGCAAGCCAGACCACTGCATGTGCTGTAAAGTGCTTAAGTGTTGCCTGCTAGTCTGCAGTGCTATAAAATATAGTGTGCAATAATGCAAGACCATTGTTTCTTACAAGTGGTACATTGGTTGGAGTTTCCATAGCAACAAGCCTTGACTTTAAATTGAAGTGAACATAGGCAGAACTAGGTGTGTATGTATCCAAATACAAACACACACACACCTCTAAGTGTTTGTCCAAATGCAATTCAGCATGCCCCGACACAAATGCAGAGTTAAGCGCTTGCACACACATAGGCACACGCAGGCAAACTTAAAACAATCTGCTAGGAGCGGTGCTGGGAATGAGCTACGTGGTGGCCTATTACACTGAGGTCAGATGAGATTCAGCAGGCAACAGGAGAGGGGAAGGCGGACGAGGCCAGAGAGAACATCCCTGACAGAAAACAAGACGTTCCTCTTAAATGGTTCAGGATCAGTGGACTGAGACCTGTGCTTCCCAAGTCTGTGCTCTGTGCCGTGTGTGTGTCTGCAGGAGTCGACGTGAGCGCTTTTAAAATGTTAGCGGTCCGCTAGGGCAGGTGTGAAATTGTTTGTGTATGTATGGGTGTGTGTTTAACCATGACTCATGTGAGGTATAAAGCAGCAGAGTATCTGTTTTCATGGTCTGAGGCAGGTGTGTCTCCAGTCTTAGTCTTTACTGTGTTTCACACCTGGTTGACTGTCTGACTATCAACACCCTGGAAACGCATTCAAAACATGTTCTCTGCTGCCTTCACTGTCAATTCCTAATGCAAAACACCAACTGCATGTAACACTAAAAGCGACTAAAGACTAATCCAATCCACATCAAGAAGTGGAGAGGGAAGATGGAAAACTTTTTGTTCATCCTACCTGGTTTACCTGCAGTAAAGATGTATTACTGTTCACATGTGTGGTTTATATTTAAGTTTAAATGGTTTACTGATACATTATATTTATTATTCATCGTATACATACATTACATGTTGGCTTTTTCAGAGGTCTGTGAAGCAATCAACACAATCTTCAGACCACAGTTCAAAACTTCAAAATAAAACCTCTACAATTCAGCTCAATATAAAGCATTACAGCAACAATAAGCATGTTGAGCTTTTGTTGTTGAGGAAGTTATTCTATATATGTTGTTGCCATGATGGAGCTCAGCATCCGAACCCAAACTGAAGGAACACTGCCTCACCTGGGGGGTGCACTTCCTCAGGTCATCAAAAATAAACATCCCAAGTGTATTAGATGAGCGATTCGTGAGACACGCATTCCACATCCAAACAGACAGTTGGTGGAATTAGTAGGAAGATAAAAAAGCTGTAAAGTATGATAAAGAATCAGGGGAAGCAAAGGTTGGACCATTGGAGAGTGGCCAACTTTTACATAACAACTTTGGGGAACTGATTCAAATGGGAATGCTACAACTAAAGAAGAATAAGCAAACATGCACGCTGCTTTAATAAAACTCCTTTGCATAGATATAATACTGCAGGGATTACAAATGACAGCTTTTATCAGCGGTAACAGCAGTAGCTGCATACTGCTGTTTACACTGATCATTTTTGGAAACATTACTCGCGCTTCTTATTATCTTCTGTCAGGCAAATATTATCATTTCAAAAAAGATGGTTTTCATTTTTCCACAGAATTGCTTATTGTTTCCTCTTCAGGCGATACATTTACTGTACCCCCTCCCTTTTCATTTCCCTCCTCATTTACTATTCATTTACTATTTGGTTTTCTCCATTTATTTTACTGAGCTTTGGCAACTTACTCTTGAGGGGATCGTTCTCCACTCTCAGGAAGCCATGATACTTTAATAGAGTATCTCCATATCTCCATACTTTACCTCGGCTGGAACTCCTGGGCCAGGATTTCGCCTCTCTGATAAGCATGGTCAGCTATCTGAGTGGTGGACCTCTTGACGATCTGTTTCAGTTCAGGTTCCAGACGCTCCATTATGGCTTTGATAGTCTCTGGGATTTTCTTCAACTTGGCCAGAGCCTGAAGGAAAAAGAACATCACAAACATTTTATTTAAGTTACAGCATAGATCAGTAAGGCGGGTGTGACGTTAAAAGGTTTTAATAAAGTTATAATAAAGAGTGAGCAGTAGTCAGTGAGGTTCATGTACCTTGATGAGGATTCCCATAAACTCAGCACTGTTCTCCTCTGGATCCACTTCAGGGAGGTCAGCTTGGTTCAGCTCTCGCCCGTCCTCACGCACTAAAGAAGAAATACAAATACAGAAATATACATATAGAGGATGTACACACAGACAAAAGTTAGCACTTAAGTGGTAATACAACATTTACAAGCACAGAAATCAAATTATTTTAACATTGGACAAATATTTAATGATAATGATGAAGAGACATTATGCTTTTTTGCCTTTGCGATCACTTAGAGACCTGATATGGTGTCTTGAGTCATTTTTCTCTGGAGACACAAATCAAAGATCTTGAAAACACGTCCTGTCACCTCGACAAAGATTTCAAATGTGCAGTATTGTATTGTGGCACAAATTATATGGCAAACATAAAAAGATCACTTAGTTTTCATTGAGACTTTCTTTGTCACCTATTCAGCAGTTTAATATAGTTTCTTTCTTACTTATGTTACTATATTAACATCGTGCATATTTCTAATTAAAACTCTCACACTTGCACCTATCCTATTATCACCCCCCTGCACGCACGCACGCACGCACGCACGCACGCACGCACGCAC